TCAAATATTCCAGAAGAATATGCAAAAATGATGCAAAAATGTTGGGATGTTGACCCATCTAAAAGACCAACTATTGGTGAACTTAATGATTTTGCTATAGATTATTCAACAAAAGTTTATAAAATTGAAGATTTAAGTAATGAAACTATAATTTCTACTACAAGCAATTCAAATAATGATAATTCACAACAAATACAAAAATCGCATCCATTAGCATATCATTCAAGCAGAATATTAGATGATGATATTGCTGGATATATAAGTTTACAACATGATCTTGAACTTGGACCAATATCCAAAATAATTGATCATTCAAGCAAAATATTAGATGATAATACTGCTAAATATAAAAGTTTACAAGATGAACTTGAACTTGGACCAGTATCTAAAGTTGTTTCTGATAATAAAAGTAATTAAATTTTATTATGATTAATTAATCCACTGAAATTTTTCAATTTTTTAATTTTTTAATTAAAATTAGATTTTAATGGTAAAGGAAATGATTTAGAAATGATGGATGATAAAATTAGCAAGATTAATGAAATTGCAGAATGGAATCAAGGTAAAATATAATAATATTTAAGTAAATGTTTAAGAAATGAATTATCAATGAAATTTTATGTATTTTTAAAACAGTTGAAATTAGCAATAAATCTAACAATGATCCAATTAAACTTTTTACTGGTAAAGTTATTTTAAATTTCCTTTTTATTTGTTATTTTATATTTATAATAATTTATTTATTTTATTAATTAAATATTAGTTGAAGTTAAGGATTTGGTCACAACTGAAGGTAGTTATTATTATTATTTGTATTTTATTTTATATCCTGGATTAAATTTTTTTTTTTAAAATTAATTTTAGAAGTTATGATGTTGGGTGAATTATCAATGGATGATTAATTATTTACATTAATATCAATTATGAATTATTATGTATTATTATTATTTATTCTTTTAAATAGCAAATAAATAAAATTTTGCAGATTTAAATATTTTAATAATTCTATATGTATCTTTTTTTAATACAAAAAACAAAAATTTGCCATGTCTGTCTCTTTCAAAATTTCACAAATTGATATATGCTTTACATATTCATCTTTTTTTTATTATTGCCAATTTTGTGTTGTGTTGGAAATATTCAGCTTCTTTGCTTTTTTTTGCATTGCATATAAACAAAGAGTTGAAAGAATTTTTAAATAAAGTAATTCCACATGACAAATAGAGGCTCCTCTAATATCAATGTCAAATCATCAAAAAGATGAGGATATTTAAATTCTGAGCTATTTACTCTATGAATACAACAGATGAATCTGTCAATGTCCAATTATATGTTTTTAAATTAAATCAAACTTCTTTTGGTGAATATTTTATTCCAGAGAAATTGAAACTCTTCTAGTGCTGTGAGTGAATGAATGATCAAGAGAATTAATTTTTTATGACATTGTAATGACTTTTTGTAATGTTATTTCAACAATGATTTTGATATAAAATTTTGAAAATTCTGTCTATTAGGCACTTGTAATAATGAGTGTTATTTTGATTAATTAATATAACCACTTTTGATTGTTAACATTGGCAATTAAATTCACTTAACCAAACTGCTATGACTTCAATAACTCTTGATCTTATCAAAATACTTTTGCATAAGCATCAAGTATTTGCTTCTTTACTGTATTCTGAGAAATCATTTGTTGAAAATCTGATATTTCTTGAGATCTATAATTTTAATAATCAAGGATGAAAAGTTTTTGATCAGGAAATGTACAAATTAGGAGTAAAGTTTAAAAACGCATATAAACAACGTGAGCTATATTAATATCATAGTAAACATATACATGTAGAAAGTAGAGTTGTTACTCCCATTATAATATGGGGGGGGGGTTCTAGCAAAAACCGGGTATAAGTATAATAAATTTTTTTGAGTGAATATGTTTTTGATATATAAAGTGAATATTTCAAGCCTTATATCTTGTTATTGTACTAAGTAAATAATGTCTAAAATTTTTACCAGTTATAATCCTTGTGGTATAGACATATATTATGCAGAAAACTCAATTTTGGTCTGGAGGCTTTATACACGGTTTTTGCTAGAAAACCCCCCATATAATCGTGCAGTTCGCAAAAAATATCTGCAAATTTCGTAAAACCTCAGAATATCCAATTTTTATTGGTGAGTTGGGTGCGTGTTATCCTTATTTAAAAATCGATTTGGCGATTTTTGTGGATAACTATATGATAATACTCCCTCCCATCAATAGACATTTATAATAAAATTTTAATTAATGAAAATAATGAAAAATATTAAAATAAAAGTTTTATTAATGTCTAGGAAGTTCCTTTACAAATAAACTACTTATATTCCATCTTGGGCTGCTATCATCTACAACATTATTAGTAAATGGTTGATCAACATCTAAAAAAATCTCATCATTTGGTTTAGAATATCTTCACATTGATCGCCATATTCAGACTAAAATTACTAAGGTGTCTTTGCACTCTTTTTTTGTGTTAGTAAACTTATTAGCAATCAAGCCTTCATATTTTTACATGGATGGCAAATTGCAAATTATTAAATTTATTTGTCTTGTTTGTCTGTTCATTTAATATTAATACCATAAAAATTTTTTTACCACATGTATTCCCTCTTGATCCTTCTTCTTTCTTAGCATGTTAAAAGAACTTTTTTTAAAATAGTGGTTGCATGCAACTTGTCATTCTATTAAAACTCATAAATTCCCCAATCCTCCCATCTTCATACATTGTTCAACTTGCAACAGTAGTAGCAATAAAAAAAGATTCAATGCTGTTTGTAACAGAAGGAGTTTAGTGTCATCCTCAAAGGATAAGGATTATGAGGGGTTGAATGGAACTTTGATTGGAAAGAAATAAATTCTATAATTCTACAAAAGACTTAAAATATGACAAATTGAGAATAATGGTGGATCAAGACCCATGATGACAGCCATATCAAAGGTTTGATCATTCAATTCTTCATTATTAAAACCATCAGGTTTTTTGGAAGGATTGTGCTTGTGTTTATTTCTGTATTTTGTCCTACATAATAAAAATACTTTGTAAATTTCCATAAAAGGGATTTTGATTTAAATTTTTTTTTATAATAATTCAAAAAAAATGTCATTTCGAAATTTATTGTCATCATTATCATTAGACAGAGAAGATTTTGTGTATAGAACTTATAATGAATTACATGATAATTCTGTATCAATTGGAAATGATATTTATGATAATACTTCATCAAACACATCTCTCAGAGAAATTCAAAAGGCTATATTTTCATCATTAGTAACTGTAAATGAAAAACTTTCAGAAAATGAAAAAGAATATTGTAAAGAAAGATATATTTATGAATTGGAATTAGATAATGCAACTTATAAATGGGGTGAATTAAAAGAATGTAACAATTGCAAATTAGGCAGTTACTCAGACAGATTTTGTGAAAACTGTATTTGTTTACATTTACAGAAGCTTTTTGATACATGGTCATCTGGAAACAGCATCATTGACAATTTTATTCAAGAATGTCAAAAGCTCTCATCTCTTCCTACACGTATTATGGAATGGATCCCATTTGATCAATTTGTAGGAGTGGAAAAAAGGGAGTATATTTGACTATGATGAAAATAAAGAAGAATTTATTTATCATGGACCTCAATATGTAGCATTAAAACTATTAAATAATTCAAATGAATTGGGGAAAAATTTTTTTGATGAAGTCAGTAGTAAATTATTTTAAATTAAAAATTATATTAATCATTATATTAATTGATTTTTGTATAATTTTTCAGGCATTAAATTATTGTAAAATTAAATCTGGAGCTATTGTTTCCTGTTATGGTATAACTAAATTCCCAGAAAATAACAACTATGCAATGGTTCTAAATTATATTCCAGGAGGAAATTTAAGAGATTATTTGCAAACAAATCATTCACATTTAACTTTAAAAAATAGAATTACAATATTTGAATATTTATGTTTATCATTAGATGATATACATCTGCAAGATTTAATGCATTGTGATTTACACAGTGGTAATATTTTAGTACAAGGTAATGCTTGTTTTATCACAGATTTGGGATTATGTGGGCCAGTTGAAGATGAATCATCAAACAAAATATATGGAATTATATCATATATTGCACCTGAAGTTCTTTGAAAAACAAGCAAAAATACAAAAGAATCAGATGTATATAGCATTGGAATGTTGATGTGGGAGATATTTTCAGGACATCCACCTTTTGATGATAGAGCACATGATCATCATTTAATTATGGAAATTTGTAAAGGTTTAAGACCACCAATTTTATCAAATATTCCAGAAGAATATGCAAAAATGATGCAAAAATGTTGGGATGTTGACCCATCTAAAAGACCAACTATTGGTGAACTTAATGATTTTGCTATAGATTATTCAACAAAAGTTTATAAAATTGAAGATTTAAGTAATGAAACTATAATTTCTACTACAAGCAATTCAAATAATGATAATTCACAACAAATACAAAAATCGCATCCATTAGCATATCATTCAAGCAGAATATTAGATGATGATATTGCTGGATATATAAGTTTACAACATGATCTTGAACTTGGACCAATATCCAAAATAATTGATCATTCAAGCAAAATATTAGATGATAATACTGCTAAATATAAAAGTTTACAAGATGAACTTGAACTTGGACCAGTATCTAAAGTTGTTTCTGATAATAAAAGTAATTAAATTTTATTATGATTAATTAATCCACTGAAATTTTTCAATTTTTTAATTTTTTAATTAAAATTAGATTTTAATGGTAAAGGAAATGATTTAGAAATGATGGATGATAAAATTAGCAAGATTAATGAAATTGCAGAATGGAATCAAGGTAAAATATAATAATATTTAAGTAAATGTTTAAGAAATGAATTATCAATGAAATTTTATGTATTTTTAAAACAGTTGAAATTAGCAATAAATCTAACAATGATCCAATTAAACTTTTTACTGGTAAATTTATTTTAAGTTTCTTTTTTATTTATTATTTTTTATTTTTTATTTATAATAACTTATTTATTTTATTAGTTGAAGTTAAGGATTTGGTCACAACTGAAGGTAGTTATTATTATTATTTGGTTTATACTGTATTTTATATCCTAAAATTAAATTTTTTTTAAAATTATAGAAATTATGATGTTGGGTGAATTATCAATGGATGATTAATTATTTACATTAATATCAATTATGATTTATTATGTATTATTATTATTTATTCTTTTAAATAGCAAATAAATAAATTTTAGATTTAAATATTTTAAGAATTCTATATGTATCTTTTTTTAATATAAAAAACAAAAATTTGCCATGTCTGTCTCTTTCAAAACTTCACAGATTGATATATACTCTACATATTCATCTTTTTTATTATTGTTGCCAATTTTGTGCTGAGTTGGAAATATTCAGTTTCTTCGCTTTCTTTGCATTGCTTATAAACGAATTCCATATGACAAATAAAGACTCCTCCAATACCAACGTTAAATCATCGAAAAGGTGAAGATATTTAGATTCCGAGCTATCCATTCTATGAATACGATGCACGACCAGGCATTTATACAAATGGTTTTTTAATAATTGAGTAAAAATAGGTAAACACCGCCACCACATCATCAACACGAAATTTTAAGGTTTATGATCAATCAAATAAAAAACACACAAAAGGATTAAACCTGTTAAATCTAAGTATGAGCAAGTAAACATTAACATTTTGTGCATTATGGGAAAAATTCAATAATACTTATCAAACTGGTATTAAGAGAATAGCTTTCTAATTTAATGGGTAATCAATATGCTTATAAAGATCTCGAAAGAAAATTTTATGTGGAATATTTGTATTGTTGGAATTTCTTGAACGAAAGGCTACGCATTGATAACTATGTTTCTTTTTTTCACAGCTCACATTTGGTATTAACATGAATGTTAGACACGGATTTGACCGAGTCTTTTACAATAAAGCTCAATATCAACCATAGGCTCTTATCGAGGATCATTTTCAATAAGATCACAAAAATCATAAATAAAATCATCAGATTAAAGACTTTAAATAATTTTCTTTTCGCGTTTTAACATCTAATTAATTTCTTTTAATATTAAAAAATTACACAAAAGAAAAAAAGCAAGTGATTAAAGACACCTTTGAGCAAGTATCACAACCTTTATTTCCGTTTAGTTGAAGTTCTAGTTGCCAAGATAATAAAAAATGTTAAATGTCTATTTTGATGGTGATAACGAGATATACATCATTTTACATTTTTTTTGAGCAAAAGATCATTAAATAAGAATCAAAGATGTTCAATTTTTTTAGGATTGGATGAATAACATCAGATTATTCTGAAAAACCCACGGGCGAGAAATCTGGGTTTTTAAATTAGAGACCATATCACTGTCACAAATTAAAAGACAAAACAATTCAATGAATGAAAATCCAGTTTTGTCGCAATGTTAACAGTTAATTAATAAAATAAATAATCAAAAATATAATTTCTGACTTTCCGATTATTATATTATTATTATCGTTATACTTTTGCAAAAGGATTTTTGTTAAGCCTTAATTTAACCCACATTAAAAAGAAAGTACCAAATATGATAATAGAACCTGAATACATTATTGGTAAAAAATAAATTTCGACTCCCTCTTGATTTGTTGCTTTGGATTTACTTAAATCCAACAAAGCACCTGCAATTGGCGTACCAAAAGTTGTGCCAATTATATCAATAGCATATAAATATCCTATACTATTTGTTATCTGGTCATAGCCTACTATGTCCGCGGCAACCACCGGAAGCAATGAAACGAAACCACCAGCATTCATTCCATAAATCATAGCAAAAATTAATAAAGGTACTAAAGTTGTTGAAAATGTCCATATTAATAGTACTACAGCGCCGGATGAAAAAGTGCATATAAAACAGGTGTTCATTCGACCTCTAATTTATTAACATTTTTTTTTTTTTTGGTTAAAATTTTAATAATAAAAATGAAATAAAGAAGAAAATCAATCAATCCAACTTACAATTTATCGGCGCAATAGCCTAACATTATTCGACCAAACGCATTCATTCCACTTGCAACACCAACAATTATAGCACTGGTTCCTTCCGAAATGCCAATATGTGTGGCAAATGCTACAATGTTATACAATTATTATTATTGTTATGGTTATACACTAATAACTATAATTATTATGCTTACATGGTATTAAGTAAAAAGGTACAAAAAATCCAAACGACATAAATAAGGAAACCAAAGCTAACCCAACAAATTCAGGAATTTTAAATAAGCTTAAATCTAAAATCTGTTGTTTCTTTGACAAATCATTATTTTTATTCCTTAAATGGTAATTAGGCGGAAGGTGTATAAATTTTGTCGATATTAACAATAATATAGTTCCCCATAAACCAAAAATTCTTATTGTCCATTGATGACCAACGATAGATAATAATTTGGATATTATTGGTGAATAAATCAAAGGTCCAACACCACCACCAGCTATAGCAATGCCGTTTGCTAATCCTCGGCGCTTAACGAACCATAATGAAGGTGTTCCAACGCATGGATAGAATGCGAGCGAACATGATATACCCCATAATAGTCCTTGAGTTAAGAATAGTTGCCAAACCTTTTTTTATTTTTATTTTTTCGAAAAAATAAATTAAAAATGTTTTCGCAAAAACCTAATAATAAAAAATCAAAAATACTAACAGTTACGGCAAAGCTTGCCATTGTGTTAGAAATTGCAAAAAGTATTGTTCCAGTAATCATCAAAGGTTTATGACCAAACCTATCTATCAGATAGGTGGAAAATGGACCTAATGAGAAAATAGAACTTATACTTATTGTCCCGATGAAGAATAAGGCAGAAGTAGAAACTTGCTCGTGGAATACATTTTTATAATAATAATCTTGAAATATTCCCCATGTATAACTATGTCCAATAGTTGTTACATTTACCATAAATGCAACAAGCACTATTACCCATCCATATCCTCCATCTGGTACTACATATTCTAATGATTCTGTATCTATTTTATCATCATTATTACTATTACTCCTACTGTTATTATTATTATTGTTATTATTTGATTCAGGATAAATAAGGTTTTCTTCAGATACTTTTATTTCATTTAAATATTTTGTATTATTATTATTTTCAATTTCAATAATTTCAATCGATTTTTCCGTCATAATTTTTTATTATTATTCCTATTATTTTTTAAAAAAAATTATTCTTTTTTTCTTGCTTTTTTTTCCCATATTAATAATGTTGATGAAAAGCTCGCTAAATTGTTTTTCCAATCCCGTGATTGAAATAAACTTCAAATAAATAAACATTCAAGTATACAATCGAAAAAAAAGAATGAATTGATGATGATGATCTCGAATGTTGGAAATTATCCAAAGTGAAACCAAGCGTTTAATCAATAAATTTTAAAAATTTTTGTATATCGCATCAATAAAAAAATAACTAACCTTTACAGTAGCATTTATTTTGCTTTACAAACTCAAATTTTTACAAATAATAATAATAATAAATCATTATCCGTTGTCATATGCAAAATAACACGTTCATTGCTATTCGATTTTGTGTGTATTATTTCTATGGGCGATCCATTTTTAAAATGACAAGTCATTAAATAAGAATAAATTCATTTAAAATATTATGGGTCAAGAAATCAGTGATTTTTTTTTCTAAAGCTGATTTACATCTCCCTTCCATAGTCATAATAATATTTTTGACATTCTTAGTCGTATATCGTTTCAATTGTTCTTCATAATGTGCAAATTCTCTATCAGGACTCAAACTGTAAATCAGGTTTTTTATATTAATAAAATATATCTTCTATTTTGTTTTGTAGTTCATTAACTGAACTGTCCCACCAAAATTAAACGATTTCTGACCTTCAAGTCAGAAATACAATGATTAATCACATACCTTGACAAACCAGTAGGCGATCTTATATTGTAGATGCTTGATCCCATATAACTTGGTCACTTTTTTCAAATCGAGGTAGCTCGAGAATTCCTTTTGTGTTACTGCTGTATGTGAAATTGAAACGAAATTTATAATTAAAATTTTGGGGTAGGATATGAAATTCTGATTGAATTTCACGTATGTGATTTCAAAACCAAATGAATGATACACACACACACATATATATATATTAGACGACCTACAGGGTGTCGCTCAAAATTCAAACACCTCGTTTTGAAATTCGTGCATGTATTAATCCAATAAAGTATCAAAAGAATGTTTGTCATCTACCTCCAAGTTTTCAATGATTGTTGGTAAAATTGTTATATCTTCTTTGTGAACATTATCTATTAATTTACATATAATAGAATCATAATGTAACGATAAAGGCAATTTTTTTTCTAATTCTTTTAATCGTTTTTTTAATTTCCAACTCACCATATCAATCGAAAAGAGCATAATTTACCTACAATTTTGTTTTCTTTGTTGGAAGCGGCCAGTCTAAAAATAAACCCAAAGTTTAACCCTTTTTTTTAAATAATAATTACTAGAATAACTCTCAAATGATAAGCAATGCTTACTCATGGGAAGCTCCTAAACTTTTTTTTTTTTTTTGGTTCTTTTTTTTGTTTACTTTTTGTTGTTTTGGCTTTTTTTTTTTTTTTTGAGACGCGAATTGATTTTTTTATTTGTAAAAAAAAAAAATTTAGATGAAAAGTCAAAGACAAGGGAAGGGAACCAGACCTTCATTGACAAGCATACTAGAAGCGTTAGTTAGTTGACATGGTTCTGAAGAAGAGTTATTTATTTAATAACCAGAAATGCTTTTTTTTTTTTTATAAATATCTTATTATTACTAATACTAATTGTAATCAAAACATGGAGCGAAATTTGTCATGTCTCTATCATAACAAATGATTGCTTTGCGTAATCATTATTAATATCAAGTATAATGTCAAAACAATTGCAAGAAAGTGTCAAAGGTAAAGAAAGATAGCACAACTGTTGACAACTGCTTCTAGACAATATCCAACATTTGATCATCGGAAATTTACAGATGTTGAAGTACGCTACTTTGACAGCAATTCACATCTTTTCCTCGTGTACACAAGGCCGGTCTAATCATCATTATTTACAAATAATATTGTCCATTGCTTCGACTAGTAAATAACATTCTTGACCTTCAGTGTTGTGACCCGAAACAAAAACTAACAGAAACCACCTGAAACTAGTTTAGGTTAGTAGTTTAGTTTTAGTTTTAGTTTTAGTTTTAGTTTTCTGCTTAGTGTAAGTTCATTTTCCGAAACGTTTCTGGAAGCCAAAAGAGTTTCTGGTCACAACACTGTTGAACTCCCAAATCTTGTAATTTAAACAGCGGAAGGATTTGATTTAAAAGTGATCCTTTAGGTGGTGTTCCACTTTTTATTTCGGAAGATAGTCACATGTTCGCATGTACTTTTTTATAATGGTACAGTGGTTCCAAAATTTTGAAGAAACAATAAAAGAAAATAAGAGGCTGAGATTAGTGAAATGCTTAATTGATTAATCGTCGAACTTGCCGTAGAAACATTAATCTCTACGTCCCCCAAAGCAAAAAAAAAAAAATATTAATAACCTTTGAGTTTTTTTTTGCGTACACATAAAAAATTTATCTAGTAGTATAATACAGCTTTTTATACAAAGGTCATTATTGTTGTGTCAGTTTTTCTCTGCCGGTCACAAAAAATTACTTTTTACGCAACAAACCTTCAGGTGTCATTGATTTCTTGATCATGATAACATTTTCATTTTTAAAAAAATAAACCCAATACTAAATTAAAACTAGAAAAGCTCTTGAGCATTTCTTTTCTCTTCTAATAATACTTACTTATTTGAACTATATATGTGCTCTTCTTTTATCTTGTCTCTGTTGGGTACCCTTTTTTTTTTTTAAGTGTAATTACAAAATAAAGGGGAAAACACTCAAAAAATCAATTGATTAAAAAATCTAGAAATGGGAAGGCGTCCGTTAATGTAAAATTATTATTTGGTATGGTTCTGAAGAAGTGTTTTTTTGCTAATAAATGAAGTTTAAGACTCTCACTTGTCCAAACTCTATCCACGTGACCAATTATCTTCAATCTTTGGAGAGGAAAAAATTCCATGGTCATAGGATTCAAAAGAGCATGCGATTGTTTGTTTTGAAAGGAAGATTTTATTAAATCTGATACCTATGATCAGAGTTGGCATTGGACATGTATCCAAATTCACAACCCCATATGTTGACAACTACAACCTCATTCGAGCTACCATCATCAATAACATTAGTCACAACACACCTTAAACATATTGGATAAAGTCTAGGATCTTGTCTAATGCAAACCCTGTCTATGAAAATGATCTTAAGGAACTCTAAAACTTGTAATTGTATACAATTGGGAAGCGCGCACACACGTGAAAAAAAGGAACTAAATAGAGACTCAACCACTAAAATTTTTTTCGGTACCACTTGGATGACAACGAAATGGATACACAGAAAAGAAGATCAGATCGAAGCTCCGCAACAATATCAAAGATTTATTTTCCAACGCCGTCAAATTTCTCAAAATCGGTTCCTTAAATTTCATTTCTGCATAGTCTTGATATTATCATTATTTTGGCTATGCAATTTATTTATTAATCCTTTGTAAAAATTAATACAATCATAAACATTGTATTGGACATATACAATTTATAATGAAGGACTAATTAAAAAGGTAAGCAATGTTTATTTATTTTGATTCGTCTGAGCGAGAAAAAACATACCAAATTTTTGATTCGTTTCATTCGAATCGAACACTAATCGTGCTTTGATTCGATTCGACTCGAACCTGACCCGAACCTAGAAATAATTTGATTAACTTGGTTCAAGTATATATATACCATATGAAATAATTTGCATAATTTTAAAAAGGGTTGTCTTTGGTTTCGAAAGTCAAAGAAAATATTTGGATTTTCCATCTACAACCGTGAAATGGTCCCGTCTTTACTTTTGAACACAATGCATTTGTTTCTTCCCATCCACCACTGAACATTTTGCCAAAATAATTAAAATGTGCAGATAAAGATGATATCGATGCTCTAATTTCTGATTCATCATTGAAACTAAAAGCCACATCATTAAAAATCATCATTATTGTTTGAAATAAACTTGCTTACCGAAACCTCTTAATAACTGCCAAAACTCTGATAAACAATTAATGTGTATCTTAGTATTAATATGTAACCTGCCGATTAATCTTCTGTAAGCAACTATAGCTCTAATGAAGATTGAAATTTACCAGAGATATTGTTATTATTAATATTGCTGCTGTGGTGATTTAATTGTGAATTATCTTCAAATCTGATGATTCACAAAACTTTGTTATACCATTATTATCACTTTGACCAATATAAAAACATCCAAAACCTTCTTGAGCATCATTTACAAGCTTTAAATCAACTTTAGTTGATGAATTAGAATTGAATTTAAGTTTAAATATTTCGAATGAATATTTAACCACTCTTCAATAAATAGAATTGTCTGTTGAATATGCATAAAAGAATAATGATAAATATTGTTGTAACTAAGATTTTGGTTCAAGCTATTTTCGAAAAAAAAAAGTAACTTTTGCAATAGTTTGGGTTTCTCGATATTTTTTATAAGAACAAACATGAAAAACTATATAAATCAACCTATCTTGATTTAAATAATTTTAAAAATAATTTGCCTAATTAATAAAAAATAGTTTGGGCCTATAAAAATTAATCTTTGCTCAAAGTGTTTCAACAACTTTGGTTACTAAGTGAGGTAGTTTCGACCGAAAACCTTAGTTGTAACCATATGGAACTAGACAGAGTCTCCAAGCACCTAAATAAAAAGGTTTGCTCCATATTTTTTCTGAATATTCTAGAATTCTGTGAAAATGATAAAAATCCCTAAAGAAAGTGGTAGCAGGCAATAAATGGTCTCCATCATCATCAGTAGTAGAAGAACAAGAAGTTGAGAATGTTTCTCCGAAACATCTTCCTCAATCTTCCTCCTAATTACATCAGGAAATTAAAAATGACATAAATCTACGTGTTAAATTTATTGTTAAATAAAACTAGAATGTCGACGACCACATAGCTTGTAACACATGTCTGCAATTCAGTTCTTCTCTTCCTATTACTATGGCTTTTTTTTAATTGACGTAGTACAAAGATTTAAATTTTTTTTGATGATGTTTTTTTTTTTCTGAAAAGGCAATTAATTTTTTTACAGAATCCAAGACGAGTAAATGTGAATTTAATTACTTGGAGAGGTATCTTTGGTTTTATTGTATTGATTTATAAATATTAAATATATATATATATCTATCTATCTATCTATGATTATTATAAATATTTTATTGAAATTAAAACGTGGAGCAGAGTTTGCTAGGATTCTCTCTATCAAGATAATAAATGATTGGTAGTGTATTTGCTTTTCGTAATATTAAGCAATCACAAGAAAGCGTCGAGGTAAAGAAAGGCGTCATGACTGTTGAACATGGGATGAGAAACGGCACCTAGACGATTTGAAAAACAATTCAATATGCGACATTTTTGATTATCAGAAATTTACAAACGTTGAGGCACATGTGCTACTTTAAACATATTACAGTCATTCTCACGTTCTCCGTGTACACTAGACTAATTTGACCAAGACTAACCCGATGATACGATGATGCAGATAAATTTTCAGGGGAGTTAAGGCTCCAAAGTTTATCGAGACTGTATCATTGTCAAAGGACATTTGAATCTTAATCTTCCCTCACAGCACCCGAACTGGCGTTACTCGGATAAAGCATGCCAGCCGAAAAGTTACCTACAACAATCCCACTTCTATGATAAAGATGGATGGCTCTGTGATTGTGAAATTGCAACTCTGTAGGTTGTGGTATTGTAATATTAGGAATTTGCAATTCATGGTGAGGTTGATGATCTTGAAAATGCATTTGGGCTCTGATGTTAAGAGGAAAGCTGCAAATAAAATAGTCGAAATTTTTTGGTTGGTACGTTCCATGTAAAATAATCATTTTCCTAGATTCTCCGTTTCTTTAAATTTTATTTGATCAACTGAATATGGGATGGGGACTTGTGCTTTTTTGGTGAGCAGATATGCCACCGACAAAACAGCAACTCAGGACTCAAAACTCTGAATTCAGATAAAATCCAAAACAACAACCCAAGTTGCAAAATTTTCAAATCAGTTGCAGACACCAATTTTATCCTGGTATAACATGAAGCAATTATAATACAAATGCTGATCTTTGTCAAGACCCAACCTTGAAAAACCTCCCAGTTCGCCTGTGGAAAAAATTCCATGGTTATGAAACATGTGAAATCATGGTTATTGCATGTTTGTGATAGGAAAATTAATTGAACCTGATATATTAGATTTATTATTCATTTTAAAAAACTATACATTGGGAAGGGAAATATTTTTTTGATCCTCCAGTCAACCTGATCCAACGGAGAAATGGATTTATTTATTCATTTACTTTTGTGAATCTCAGAGACCTGGATAGACATAAACTATTGTTTTGAAATCGGGTTCCTTAAAAAGTTTCATTCCTGGATGATCATGGTATTATTCATTACTTGGGAGATGCAATTGTTTATTATGTCAATGATGATATCAAATGCGTTTAATAATATTGTGATGGATGTGGAGACAAAGGGATTCGTGCATGAGGAAAGGATTAAATAGCAATATCGTGTTTATTTATTTTATTTTTTATCCAAAAATACAAGATAAAAAAATTGCCAAAAAATTAATTACATGGAATTCAAGACTGGACCAATTGTACCATTACATGTTCCAAGGTCAATCAAGCAATTATTTGAATACATTGGTACTCGTTATAATCTTATTAAAGAGGAATATATTTGTGTGTTAATTTAGACATCTTTATTTGCTTTTATAGGCAGCATTTTACAAATCAATTTTTTTATTATTTACATTACTCTGAAAATTATTTGCTTCTATTTATGTTTATGTTTTATTAGTGATTAGTAAAATGTTTTTTGAAATAACAGATTTTCCGTCCCCTTTTTGGCGTAGCTATCACGTAGTGGTGTCCTAAAGGAGGTTCGGGAATTATTTATCCTTTATCCTTGCTGATCATTAATTAAATCACATGACTACACCCTGCCCTCCCTTAACACAAACTACATGTACGTTATCAAGGATAATTGAAGTGATTTATGGCTAAAGTATACCTATGAAAAAAAGATGTGAATCAGCTTTAGAAAAAAAACTGATTTCTTGACTCAATAAAAATTCATAAGCTTTCAAATGAATTTATTTTGTACAACTTGTCATTTTTTAAAATTGTGATCGCTCATAGAAATAATACATACAAAATCGAATTAACAATGAATGTGCAATTTCGCATACGATAACGGATAAATAATTTACTATTACTATTAATTACTATTACTATTATTATTAAAAAGTTTTTATAAGCAAAATAATAGCTACTATAAAGATTAGTATTGGTGTAACATCAATGTTTTTTTTACTAATACAATATGCAGATATTTTTAAGAATTCATTGATATTAATATAACGCTTGTCTTCATTTCGGATAATTTCCAACATTCGATATTAACAATAATCGTTACATCATCAATTCGTTCTTTTTTTTTTCGATTGTTTGCGAATCTAGAATTTATGCATATAGGTTTGAATTTTTATTTAACTTTTAATTACGGGATTGGAAAAACAATTTAGCAAGCTTTTCATAAACATAATTAATAATGATATTTTCAAATAAGATGGGAAAAAAAAAGAACAAGAAAAAAAAATATAAAAAGAGCAAATTTTTTTTTAAAAAAAAATCTAAAAAATAAAAAAATAATAATAATAATAAAAATAAAAATAATAATAAAATTATGCCGGAAAAGCCAATTGAAATTATTGAAATTAGAAATAATAATACAAAACATTTAAAAAATTCAGAAAATGAAATACAAATAACTGAAGAAAAACTTGTTTATCCTATAAACTCTGAATCAAATAAAAACAATAATGATAATGATAATGATAAAATAGATGTAGAATCATTAGAGTATATAGTACCAGATGGCGGATATGGATGGGTAATAGTGTTTGTTACGTTTATGGTAAATGCAACAACTATTGGATATGGTTATACATGGGGAATATTTCAAAATTATTATTATAAAAATGTATTCCACGAGCAAGTTTCTGCCTCTGCCTTATTCTTCATCGGGTCAATAAGTACAAGTTCTATTTTCTTATTAGGTCCATTTTCCACCTATCTAATAGATAGGTTTGGTTATAAACCTTTGATGATTACTGGAACAATACTTTTTGCAATTGCTAATATAATGGCAAGCTTTGCCGTAGCTGTTAGTATTTTTTAATTTTTTATTATTAGGTTTTTATTTTTTCGCGAAAAATTTTTAATTTATTTTTTCGATAAAAAAATAAAAAGGTTTGGCAATTATTCTTAACTCAAGGATTATTGTGGGGTATATCATGTTCGCTCACATTCTATCCATCTATTTCGACACCTTCATTATGGTTCGATAAGCGTCGAGGATTAGCAAACGGTATTGCTATATCTGGTAGTGGTGTTGGACCTTTGATTTATTCACCAATATTATCCAAATTATTATCTAGCGTTGGTCATCAATGGACAATAAGAATTTTTGGTTTATGGGGAACTATATTATTGCTAATAGCGACAAAACTTATATGCCTTCCACCTAATTACCATTTAAAAAATAAAAATAAAAATGATTCGTCGTCGTTGACGTCGTCAAAGAAACAACAGGTTGTAGATTTAAGCTTATTTAAAATTCCTGAATTTGTTGGGTTAACTTTGGTTTCCTTATTTATTCCTTTTGGATTTTTGGTGCCGTTTTACTTAATGCCATGTAAGCATAATGATTATAGTTATTAGTATAATAATCATAATAACAATAATATTAACGTCTTATAAACATTGTAGCATTTGCCACACATATTGGTATTTCAGAAGGAACCGGTGCTATAATTGTTGGTATTACAAGTGGAATGAATGCGTTAGGTCGAATAATTTTAGGCTATTGCGCTGATAAATTGTAAGTTGGATTGATTGGTTTTTCTTTTTTATTTCATTTTTATTATTAAAATTTTAACCTAAAAAATGTTAATTAATTAGAGGTCGAATGAATACCTTTTTTATATGTACTTTTTCATCCGGTGTCGTAATACTATTAATATGGACGTTTTCAACGACTTTAGCACCTTTATTAATTTTTGCTATACTTTATGGAATTAATGCTGGTGGTTTCGTTTCATTGTTTCCGGTGGTTGTCGCGGACATAGTAGGCTATGATCAGATAACAAATAGTATAGGATATTTATACTCTGTTGCAGCACTTGGCACAGCTTTTGGCTCACCAATTGCAGGTGCTTTGTTGGATTTAAGTAAATCCAGAGCAACAAATCAAGCAGGTGTCGAGATTTATTTTTTACCAATAATGTATTCAGGTTCTGTCATCATATTTGGTACTTTCTTTTTAATATGGGTTAAATTAAGGCTTAACAAAAATTTTTTCGCAAAAGTATAATAATAATAATAATAATAATAATAATAATAATAACAATATAATAATAATAAAATCGGATAATTTATTTTATTAAGTAACTGTTATTGCGAAAAAACTGTATTCTCATTGAACGGTTTTGTCTTTTATTCTCAATAAGAAATCCCAATGCTTCACATGTATTTTATTTTAAGTTTTGGATCACGTAATAAATTATATGAATATTTAAAATTTCTTGGCTAAACTTTCATCATTGTCTTCATTAATTGCAATCATTTGATTCACAGTTATTCTTATCCTTACATTGCTAGATCTTGCTTGAAAGATATTTTCTCAATAAAGAATCATTTTGATATACCACGTCAAACAATATAAGCTATTTGATGTTATTTCTTTCGAACAATCTTTAATTTGTGACAGATTTTCTTGCCCATGAATTATTTTATGGTTTTTTTCAGAATAATCTGTTGCTATTTGTCCAATCCTAAAAAAAAATTGAACATATTTGGTTCTTATTTTATGATTTTTTGCTCAAGAAAATGGAAGTTTCTATTAATATAAATTTTATATGAAACTTATTTTTAATCATTGTTGACGATTAGACTTATTGGACCAGTCCAAGCAGTCTCTGGACAAATTGTAAGGGGTGGGCCAATCACATATTTCAAACATTTAAATTAACGATGACAAATAAAAATCAATTTTTTCACATCATCACCTTTTATAGAACGCGAAAGATATGATTTATTATCTATTAACGGATATTTAAATAAGGTTATTATTTTTATCTTATCCTTTTTTAATAAATAAATACACTAAAATTCATACCCAAGAGTCTTTTTTTTATTTGGAGTAGAAAGATTTTGTAAATTATTTATTTCTTTAGATGATGTATTAATAAAACCTTCACCATTATTATAAAGTTCATTTTCAATTATAGTTTTTGTGTCATTATCAGCAACCCAATTTAACCATTCTTCCACATTTGAAAAATTATTTCGAAAAAAATTTACAATTCAACAAATGATTACAAGTTTTTTATTTTCAATTCGTTGATATTTATATTAGAGCTCTTACAAGCAATGCAGATACCCAAGTGATTATAATCATTTGGTTTATCAGGTAAAACATAAAAGTATTTTTTATATTGGTTACTTCCTCGAGGCATTGAAAGAGTAATATAAGTCATGTGTGATTGATTATATTCTTTTTACAATAAAAATTATTTTTTATCTTTATATGACAAAGCCCAAATAAAGTCTAGTCCAGTCCAAACCAATTGGACTGGTCCAATGTACAACTAAGCCACTTTTTTTATTGCGTTGATTGGACTTATTGGACTGGCAATTTTGACAACACTGTTTTTAATTGCTTTTAATAGTAGGCAATGAAGTTTCATTTAAATTAAAAATTCAATTATATACAAAAATCAGCAAATTCATTTTTCACTAATTTGCCAAATGTCATTCCAATTCTTTCGAATTTTTTACTCTATATTAATATCTCGCTTAACAAACTCACCAAAAATTTTATATATGAACATTGTTGAATTTAGATCTTCATGAATAAATTTTGAGTTTAAAATAATTGACTTTCAAAAATCCGATTAAATATTAATCTTTATGATAAGTTCACTATATATAATGTAGTGGTAATTGGCTACTAGAAAAGAACAAAAAACATCCTTTTTCTAAACTGCACCAAAAATTTTTTGTTACGCGCTGTATCACCACCGAAATAGACATTTATCATTTTTTTATTATCTTGGTAACTAGAGCTTAAAACTAAACGGAATCTTTCAAAAATTGGAATTGCTTTTTTTTCAACAAGGTCTTGTGAATTCCACTATCCATCACGGTTTACCCAGGCTTTATTATAACACAGGCTTCATCTTCGACAAATTTTAATCGTCTTCCCACCCCAGTTTAAAAAATCACTAACATGAAGACTTAAACCCATTCCTTTTTTTTTTAAAGGAATGTGATTATTTGGTCCCAATAAGTTTTTTTTTACCATCATGAGCCACCATTATATGCTTTTTTCCTTCAAGTGCAAGTATTGGTTCATTAAGAACCGTAACATCATCTTCACTAGGGGCGGGCATCAATTTTTTCAAAGAACTCATTTTTTCAAGAAAATTTTCTCTTGCATGGATCACATCAGGTCTTTCATGTCCATCCAAGTGGATATATTATGGATTTTCTGGTGGTTCCATCAAAGTTTTCTCGGCCATACATGTACAGTTGTTTCACTTATCTTCTTTTTTTCTTCAATTCGAATTGAAGAGAATATTTCTTTTTCAATGTGTTTTTAAAATCTTTAACATTACACTTTTTTGGCCAAAGGTATTCCATTTAACACCAAGATCATTTTTTTATCTTTTTCTAGAGCCGACCCTCAAATCTTTTAATTACTTCTACTTTACCAATATCACCTAAAAATCAACAGTCATTCGATCATCATTATTATCAACTACAGCATCATCTGGAGAATATTCTTTTGGAAAAAATGATGTCAATGGATTGATATTTGCAGCAGCAACTTTTAATGCAATGCTTTTTTCGCCTGATTGTGTGTGCAGCATTACCAATATAAAACAAGAGGTCTTTTTGAATTAGAGCTTGTTGATCCCATGGTGCTTGAGCTTGCCGCCATCATTTCATCAAAAATTGAAGGTGAACCCGTGTTAAAATCACCCTCAAAGTCTCATCATATCAAATTTCACCATTTGATTCATTATGTGACGAAACTTTTGATTTTAGTCAATGGCGAAATTAAAGTATTGACTAAAGGTAGTTTCTCACCAAGGCCATTTTGACGATTTGACTAAAGTAAAAACTCTTGACGTAAGTAAAACCACTTGACGTAATTAAAACCCTTGATACAAGTAAAAACGCTTGATACAAGCAGCAATAACGATAATGATAAAATAGGATTATCAAAGTTCCAAATTATGTAAGATTGTGTGAATAAAAAATTATTATATCATTCATTGTATGTATATTGCAATGATGCAAGTAGAATAATTATCATGAAAAATTTACAAATGTCATAGTTTGAATTAGAAATTTTACTTGATTAAACTACTTAATTTTTTCCTTATATTTTCTTTACATTTCATAAAATGTAAAAAATCAAATTGTCTTTAGATACATATGAGTTGTGTTAAATTGATGTGTTTTCGAATTATTGACTTTGAAGTTAACTACAGAACTACGTGTAATAGTAATACGCAATAATATTAATAATGTGCTTGAGCTGTCTTTAGTGTCTGAGTTTGAAGCAACATAGGTTGATCAATATTGGTACTTAGAACGACCTTTACATAAGACAAGTTTTGGTAAATTTTCTATTTTTGTCACTTTTAAATCTTTAAAGAATTTCTTTTATTGTTGATTCATGATAAATCGATCACTAGAGTTTGGTGATGATGAAGTTGTTCTTTAAATAATGCAATTTTCGCTTTTCAATTTACATCAATTAATATTAATCCTGTTAGAAAAATTTGTTTGTTACACGTTATTCAATTCTCCGCATTTTATTCATTAATATTAAAACGATAAGTCAAAGTTTTATATTTTATAATAATGTCATATGATAAATTGTTATCATCATCAACAGAAAGGACGGAATTTGTATTTAAAATTAATAATGAAATGCGTAACAATGCTAATGCTAATGCTAAAGAAAATAGAAAAGACTATTTTTTTTCATTGGTCAAAAAAAACAAGGAGCTTTCTGAAAATGAAAAAGAATATTGTAAGCAAAAGTTTATTTATGAGTTTGAATTAAATAATGTAACTTATAAAGAAGGCAAACCAAAAGAATGTTACAAGTGTAAATTGACAAGATACTCTGACAGGTTCTGTGAAGGTTGTATTAGTTTACAATTACAGAGTCTTTTCACTACTTGGACATCTGGAAATAACATAGTTGACAACTTTATTCAACAATGTCAAAAGCTTTCATCTCTGCCAAACTATATTTTAGAATGGATACCTTTTGAGCAATTTAAAAAAGTGTCAAAGTTGACAGAAGGTGGATTTAGTTCGATTTTTACTGCTACATGGACAAGAGGACAAATAGTTGATTACGATGAAAATAAAAAGGAATTTAGTTATTTAGGAGGAGGATATAATGTAGTATTAAAAAGTTTAAATGATTCAAGTAATCCAGGAAAAGCCTTTTTTGATGAGGTTGGTAGTTGTCATTTAAA